AGGTCCTGAGTTCAATTCCCAGCAACCACATGGTGGCTCACAACCACTTGTAATGAGATCTGGTGCCCTCTTCTGGCCTGTATGGACACATGCAGGCAGAATACTGTATACATAATAAATAAGTAAAAAAAAAAAAAGAAAAAAGAGAGAGACATTAAAAAAAGTAAATAAAAATAAATTTTATAAAAAATGTAAGTGGGTAAATTAAAAAATCCATTTATAGAGGAAAATGTTGGTTTGCAAGTCATGTTAAAGTAGTTAGAATGAAATATGTTAATTTTTCCTCTGGTGGAAGAATTTAAAGCAAGTCAGTTGTCAAGGTAGATAGGTAAGATACTAAAAACCTGACTATCAAATTACTTACTCATGAGAAATGGCTTACTTGACAAAAATTAAAAAATGGGCATTACAAGAGGTCCATACTTGTAATTCTAGAGCTTGAGAGGTTGAGATCGTTCTGTGGTACCCAAGATGCTATCTCAAAAAAACAACAAAACAAACAGAAAAACCCAGACAGAAAGCAAAACTGAGTCACAAGTATAATGCAATGTATATAGTTTAATCAACTAGATATCATCTGTGTAGTAGCTTCATGTTTTTTTGTTTGTTTGTTTTGTTTGTTTTTTTGGTTTTTCGAGACAGGGTTTCTCTGTGTAGCTTTGCGCCTTTCCTGGAACTTGCTTTGTAGACCAGGCTGGCCTTGAACTCACAGAGATCCGCCTGCCTCTGCCTCCCAAGTGCTGGGATTAAAGGTGTACGCCACCACCACCCATTGTGTAGCTTCATGTTTTATGAGGAATGAAAGTGTCTTAGGAAATTGAATTAAAGAAGTGGTCCTCCAAAAAACAGGAGTCATACCGGGTAGAGGTAGTGCATGCCTATAACCTGAACATGGCACATAGATTTTGAAGTGGGACTATATACATAGACTCTGTATCAAGAAAAGGCAAGGTGGGGGGAGGGAGAGAGGGAGAAAGTGAGGTTTGTTTGTGTTCTGTCTTGATCTGGATCTGTTAGACACTGCAGTATAAGAATGCTGAACTTGACTGGGCAGTGGTGGCACACGCCTTTAATCCCAGCTCTCAGAGAGGCAGAGGCAGAGGCAGAGGCAGGAGGACTTCTGTGAGTTTGAGGCCAGCCTGGTCTATAGAGCGAGTTCCAGGACAGCCAGGGCTCCTCAGAAAAACCTTGCCTCGAAAAGCCAAACAAACAAACAAATAAACTCATTTGTGTTTTCTGTCTTAACTCCTTTGGTATGAAAACATCAGGACCTAGATACTATGGGGGATATAATCACATAGAAAGTGATGCATTATGATCAAGCATATACAAAATGAGCTATTAGTGAAATCTGTTTGTTCAATTTATTTTTATTTTTTAAATTAATTAATTTATTTTTCTATTATCAGCTTGATACAGTATAAATTCTTATCTTAATAGTGAAATGTTGTTTGTTCAGTTTAGTCTTTCTTTGAGGTCTGGATGAATAGAAACACTTACTTTCAAAAAAAATTTTTTTTGTTGAGAGTTATAATTTATTTTTGTCGTTCTAAAGATTTGTTTTCTCCCCGAAGCCAGACTCTGAATGGATGATTCAACTTTTTTTTTTCCAGCTGGTTAAGATCCTTGTCTAAAAAAAAAGACCCTTGTCTACAGAGTGCTTCAAGTAGAAGTTTAAAGTATTCTGTGATTTCACTTACCGTGGCTTGCTTGTACAGCCACAGGCTCCCTGAACTTTGATGGGAGGGTTTTAGGAGAAATGGGTTCAGAGCCTGTCAGTACAGAATTTAATCTTGGGCCAGTGAGATGCCTGAGCATTGAAGTGCTTGCTCTGAAGTTCGATGACCTGAGTTTGATCCCTGAAATGTCTGTCAAGATTGAAGGAGAGAACCGACTCCACCAAGTTGTTCTTTCACGTCCACACTCACTCTGCGTATGCACAGATATACACCCGGCACACACAGGCGTACAATACACGTGTATATACACACAGGAAATACAACTTATTTAAAAAAGTATTTTATCTCTGGCTCCAATTCAACATTGATTATGATGGTTCAAGGTTTTGGCCTTATTGGTAGGACCCTCTGAGGGTTATAGTAAGGTAGTGAGACAATTCTACCCACGATGCATAATTTACAAAACATCTTACCTTGTAAAAGGTAATGCTGGTAAGGTTAACATCTTGATGTGTGGTGTGCAGCAGTTGCTGTAAATTCCATATTCTGATCATTGGTTTCTTTAAAAATTGTTTTCTTGTGTTAATTCTTTGTAAAATATTTGCGTTCGAAAAGTGTCGGGCAGTGCACTCTGCTGTTGTGATTAATGCAGTGGCACCCCTGTTCAGATTGTACGCAGGCCCCGAGGTGGACATCTGGAGCAGTGGTGTCATTCTCTACGCCTTGTTATGTGGGACCCTCCCCTTTGACGATGACCACGTGCCAACGCTTTTTAAGAAGATATGCGACGGGATTTTTTATACCCCTCAGTATTTAAATCCCTCTGTCATCAGCCTTTTGAAGCATATGCTGCAGGTAGATCCCATGAAGAGGGCCACAATAAAAGATATCAGGTAATTTTAAACTAGACAGGAGAAAAGTTTCATTTTATTAATGAGGTGCTTTTTTCCCTAGCAATATACTTTTCATAGGAGATTGAGTTCTATAGGTAATGGTGCGTTGTGTGTGGCAGAACCTAAGAGTTTAAATAAGGCAGAACTGATGGTGACTGGTAACATTTTTCATGACATACATTCGAGGCAAGCCATTGCTCATGAACACTCAAGAGTGCTTCCTGGAGACTTTGTTCTACTATCAATGTTATCTCATCCTCCCCCCCGCCCCCCAATTTTTGTTTTCCTTAATTCTTTGCTATTCTGATGGCCGGACTACACATTTTTCTCATCCTGGAGGAAGAAAAGAAAGAAAGAAAAACTGTATGCGTAAATAAGTAAGAAAGCATTAGGGTAACCAGGAAGAGGTTTATATGTGAATTTAAGCTTTATTCCTTTCCACTTACTCCTTATGCTAAAAGTCCTGCTAAAGCTGAGCAGTGGTGGTGCACGCCTTTAATCTCAGCACTTGGGAGGTGGAGGCAGGCAGATCTCTGTGAGTTCAAGGCCAGCCTGTTCTACAGAGTGAGATCAGGATAGCCAGGGATATGTAGAGAGACCCTGTCTCAAAAAAACCAAACACCAACAATAGCAAAAACCTGCTGCAGCGGAGATCCCAAATGGCAGGGCATGGCTTTAACCACCAGATGGGAAGGGAAACACATTCTGTTAAATTGCTATCGTAAACTGTCTAAGGGAGAAGTATATTTGCATATGTTTTAGGTATTTTTTTCAGAATTAAACTCTGATACAAAATGCTGTGCATGGTACTTGGGAAGCTGAAGGAGGATGACAGTGAGTTTGGTTCCAGCCTGGGCTACCCAGTGGAGAGAGTCTGTCTCAAAAGCCAGTCTCCAGTTGGAAACAAACACCCTTGAAATTGCAACAACAACAGAAAGACTCCTGGGAATAAAAGCATACTTTTATGTCTACCACTTAGTGATAACCATTGTTCTTTTGAGTATTTTCCTCTGTGTTTTGTTGTTGTTTTCATTTTTTTTAAGTTTTAGCATAGTTCTTGATGTGGTTCCACATCCTTTTATATGTGCAATTAAATAATCATTCAGAGAATGGCCTTTTGAGTCCTACAGAACTGGGTTGTGTGGATGAGAATAGATTTTGCATGTATGAATTGCTTAGCATATAACTAAGTACACAGTAAGAACTCAGGATATTGCATACCGTTTTTGTTACCAAGCTCTTTTCATGTAACATGAGACAGTGTGAAGAGGAATGTAACAGTGAAGCCACACAACATAATTTCTTTCTGACCTGGGGAAAAAACTTGCACTTTGTCATCATTTGGGTAGACATACTTTTCATTTGCTTGCATCAATCCTTAAAAATTAGCGGCAGGCTGGAACATTTTTCTCAACATATTCAATGAAGTATGAGTTAGAAGAGGAAAAGAGTTAAAAAAAAATACAATCAATAGTAACGTAGTGTGGGTATAAATGTAAATTAATTCATATCTTAAACTCTTGAAAGGTATTGTTTTTATTCTTGGTTTTACTGAAAATTCTCTGCACACTGCTGTTTTCTCTTAGGGAACATGAATGGTTTAAACAGGACCTTCCAAAATATCTCTTTCCTGAGGATCCATCATACAGTTCAACCATGATTGATGATGAAGCCTTAAAAGAAGTGTGTGAGAAGTTCGAGTGCTCGGAAGAGGAGGTTCTCAGCTGCCTGTACAACAGAAATCACCAGGACCCGCTGGCGGTAGCCTACCATCTCATAATAGACAACAGGAGGATAATGAACGAGGCCAAAGATTTCTACCTGGCAACAAGCCCGCCCGATTCTTTCCTTGATGACCACCATTTAACTCGGCCCCATCCCGAAAGAGTCCCCTTCTTGGTTGCTGAGACACCAAGAGCACGGCATACCCTTGATGAGTTAAACCCACAGAAATCCAAACACCAAGGTGTCCGGAAAGCAAAATGGCATCTGGGAATTAGAAGTCAAAGTCGACCAAATGATATCATGGCAGAAGTATGTAGAGCAATCAAGCAATTGGATTATGAATGGAAGGTAAGAAGGCCCGTGTTCAACCTAACACATTTGCCGAACCTGTAGACAAGAGTCTTTTATAGAAGAGTTGATTTGATGTGCCTTTGTTTTTGTCTGTATCAAATGCTAGGTTGTAAATCCCTATTATTTGCGTGTACGAAGGAAGAATCCTGTGACTAGCACATTTTCCAAAATGAGTCTACAGCTCTATCAAGTGGATAGCCGGACTTACTTATTGGATTTCCGTAGTATTGATGGTATGTACACACAAACCCACAGAGGTGATATGTCAGACCTGGTTATCTAATTTGGCTTATAGTCTTTGTTTTTTGGTTTTATTTTGTTTTTAATTAAACCTAAGCATGCAAAGTACTAAATTTCAAAATGGCATTTCCTTTTCTTCCTTCCTTCCCTCCTTCACATGTGTGTTTCGGTTGCACTCACCCGTGTGTACATGGGGTGGGGGCAGCCGAGGTCAGTGTCAGGTACCTTCCTCCGTCACTCTCCATCTTACTTTGGAGACAAGGTCTCTTTCCAAACAGGAGGTTGCCCTTTAGGCTAGACTTAGTGGCCAGCCAGCCCCAGGGATCGTCTCGTCCCCAGCCTCCAGTGTTGGGGTTATAGATGTGCACCTCCTGGCCTGGCTTCTCCATGGTGCTGGGGATCGGAGTTGAGGTCCTTCTGCGGTGCAGCGGGCTCCTTATCCACTGAGCCATCTCCCCAGCCCCAGGATGACACTTTGATCATACACTTTTGTCCTTATCATCCTCCCCCACTGCGCTCTCCACCTCAACCTTTGTGTCTTATGAAACTTCCTGGCTTTTTCCTGGTAAGTAATAGTAAATGTGACTTTCTGTCCTCTAGGACACTGACAATTGTGAACCCTCCTCTCCGACTCCTCCTCCTCCTCCTCCTCCTCCTCCTTCTATGTAGTACATTGTTCTTTTACAGATTATTATCCTGGGGCTAGGGATTTAGTTCAGTAGTGAAGTTCTTGCCTTGCAGACACAAAACACTGGCTCCCATCACCATTACCATTTCTCCCAAAGTAGAAAATGATTATTGTTCTATAAAATCTTTAAAAATACACAGTTTAATTCTAAAGTGATAATTCTCTTTCATATTTCTATTGCTTTGTAAGGTTCATTTTGGCAATGTAAATTTTTTTATTTAAAAGTAAATACTGATTTATTGTAGTTTTATTTAATTTTAAGTACTTTTAAAATTAAACACATGATTATGCCTGTTCTTCCAAATTGTTAAACAAGTATCTATGGGAGGATATTTAGAATACTTACTTACAGACTCAAAGACAGCACCTACAGAGTATAAGAAAGACAAAGGCTTGAGCTATGATATACACTGGCCAACTGCTTATGATGGTCTGCTTGTTGATTTATTGATTGATTCATTCATTTATTGATTTGTTTTTGAGACAGGATCTTCTATGTAGGCTGGCCTGGCTTTGACGGGGCAATCCTTTTTGGTCCATCTCTGAGTACTGGGTTACAGATGTACACCATCCGCTAGCATGTACCCGTCCGCTAACACACAACACACCGATACAGTTTGAGATCGGGAACGGGTTTTATTTTTCTCTTAGTGTTTAGATAATTTTACAGTCTTAGTTATATCGAACTTTGGACTTGGCAACCAAATGAATATTTACTATTTCTACTTATATTTTGTTCCCAACTAGTTTCCCTTTGATTTCATTTTCAGTGTTACTCTTGTGGTACTAGAGATTGAAATCAGGCCTTCTTAATGAGCTCTAGCTACAACCCCCCCCCCTCCCCCGAACTGAAGCCCGAACCCAGGGCCTTGTGCTTGCTAGGCAAGCGCTCTAGCTCTACCACTGAGCTAAATCCCCAACCTCTCCAACCCACTTTTTACTTTTTATTTTGGGGGAGGTCTCACAAGTTATCCAGGTTGTCCGTGGACTCACTAGCTCAGGTAGACCTTGAACTTATGATCCTCTTGCTTTAGCTTCCCGAGTAGCTGGGATTGAAGGCCTGTACCACTAAGCCCTGCTTTTCTGAATTTGCCTATTGGAATTGTTGCTCTTTCCTGCTTCTAAATGAAATACGAGAGACTGCATAGTAAAAAGCATTGAGCTGAGGTTGGGAGGGTAGAGTGCCCGAATGGCTGAAGCTTTCTGTTCATTTGTTTTCTTGAACAAATAAGATGACTGACTGCTCTGGCTTTGTTTTTATATCAGTAAAATTATTCTTGGGTGAGATGATTTCCAAGATACCTTCCATATTTCAAGTGATTGATTCTGTGGTTTTGATAGAAAAGAATTTTACTGCTAGGGGATTTTTATTAAAACCCAGGTTATTAGTTTACTGACTCTTAGTGTAAACGTCAAGAGTAGTAAGTTAAGTACCCTGTGTGGCCTGGTCATCCTAAGCATTCTTCATGCTGTGTGTGTGTGTGTGTGTAGAAATGATGAGTGGCTTAGTCCAGGCACACTGCCCCCGTTTGAGAATGTATTTAAAATAAACACGCTCTGGGGGGCTGGTGAGTAGTCTCACTTAAAGAATCTGATACATACTGTTTGAAAACTTGAGGGAGAATAGTCACACGGAACTCTTTTCACCCAGATGAAATTGCAGAAGCCAAATCAGGGACGGCTACCCCACAGAGATCGGGATCCATCAGCAACTATCGATCTTGCCAAAGGAGTGACTCCGATGCCGAGGCTCCAGGGAAGCCCTCAGAAGTTTCTCTTACCTCGTCTGTGACCTCGCTCGACTCTTCTCCTGTCGACTTAGCTCCAAGACCAGGAAGTCACACAATAGAATTTTTTGAAATGTGTGCAAATCTAATTAAAATTCTTGCACAGTAAACCTAAAACTTTGCTTATTTCTTTGATGCAATAAGCATGCATAATAAATAATAGCCAAACACTTCCACTTACCAAGATATATATATATATATATATACACATACATATAAATATAACTAAGGATTGGCCTTTTGGAATGCATTTTGCACAGGGATTGGAAAATGATCAATAATTAAAAGCCTAATGTGCAGAAATGAATTGGGACCATTTTGTTGTCCCTTATTCAGTAGGTACATATGGTATAATATACACAGAATGGATCGCAGGACTCAAGCCCACTTGATTTTTGACCATTTTAATTTGGTGTAACAGGGCTTTGTAGGCCATAAATTTACCATAAAAGCCTTCGCGTATGTTGATGTGTTTTATATGAATTATTTGCGTAGAATCCCCAGAGACCTTAGGTGATGCTGTTTTCTGGGCTCCTTAGCTTCTTAAAAAGCTACCATTCCCATTTCTGGTAACATTGTGAATGATTTCCACATCCTTCTTAAAATGCTGTCTTGTGTGGTAAGACATATCAGATACAGACTCAATTTAAAGATTGTCTTTAGCTTGTAAGCCTGCCAACCCACAGAATTGATATCCTCAGAAACGCTGAGCCCTACGTTTACTTCTGCAGTTTCCCCCTTATGTTTTGTATATGAAGTGCTGCTTTGGCTCCTAGAGCCAAGTTGCTCACACTGTACTGAATCATGTTTTTGTCGCTGTCACAGAGTTCTCCTGGCTATCATGCCAGCCGCTATTGAATGTCATTTGATTGTGTGTTTTTAAAATTGATTCAGTGCATAGAAAGGACATCTTTTATAAGCTTTGAATGCTTCAATTAGATTTTTTTTTTGGTTTTTCGAGACAGGGTTTCTCTGTGTAGCTTTGCGCCTTTCCTGGAACTCGCTTTGGAGACCAGGCTGGCCTCGAACTCACAGAGATCTGCCTGCCTCTGCCTCCTGAGTGCTGGGATTAAAGGCGTGTGCCACCACCGCCCGGCTCCTTCAATTGGATTTTTAACCCCCGATTTTATTCTGGACACATTTTAAAAAAGAAAAACGGAAAGATTATATTGATCGCATGTATATCTACTACGTAGTTCCAACAACTGCTTGGCTTCATTTGCCCTCTAGATTCACGTATGTACAAAAACATAGATATGCATATGTATTTGAATGTATGTATGCTTTTGCTCTGAACCATTGAGATGTTAAGATACCCATCCCAGCCTTCAGTACTTAAGCATCTCCTAAAAATAATGATATCGTCCTTTAAGAAACTCTTGAATCCTTTATAAAATCAATAATTTCCATATTTATCTCTTAACTGTCCAGAGTCCCATTTAAGTTTACAGTCTGATTTCAGTTGTAGCTCTTTAATCAGGTTTAATATTATTATTTTGAAAAGGTGTAGAAGAAATCCATTCTTCAAAATGGTCAAGTTTATTTCAGGTTTTAATTTTTTTAAAAATTACTTTTTAAAAAAGTAAGTTGAATCCTTCTTAGACCTCTGATTTATATGCCTCTCCCTGTTTTAGTGATAGCATGGCATAATAGTTGTAAATGAAGATTTAAAGTCGAGTAAGACAAAGCTGGCATTTTATGAGCTAATAATTAATTTCATATTGTCCATATTTGGCTTCTTTTATGTTTAAGAAATTTGGTCGGAGGCTCTAGCTCAGTGGTAGTGCTTGCCTAGGACATACCCAGCCTGTGGGTTTGATCCCAGCAATGCAAAAACTACATTTTCTTTAAACATTAATCATCTTCCCTTTGCAGGAGAGACATTTTTTTTCCCACTGCATTCGTTGAAAAATCCTCCACCGCCATATCTGTCGAGCACTTCTTTAACCAGATGGGAACGAATTTGAAGGTGGATAGCTGGCATAAAAGATTGCTCTATAGTTTATGCACTGAATCCCGGACAAAAAATATGATTCATTTTGTTCAGGGCTTGTTTTATTCAACTCCACTTTGAATGCTGTATAAAGTAATGGAGACTCCGTTTAAACCAGTTCCAAACTGTATTTATACCTTGGTGTGTGTGTGTGTGTGTGTGTGTGTGTGTGTGTGTGTGTGTGTGTGTGTGTGTGTGTCCTAGGTTTGGGGTTTACTGATGTCACTTATGCTGTCCACATGCAGCATTGTGTTCCTGACGGGAAGAACGGAAGACTGCGTTTTTAAACTTACAGATTTGTAAATAGAGCCAAGTAATATGTCTGTAAACTGTTGGGGGGCACAAAAGGAGGAACCAATTAAATAGGACCTTCTACAAATTGTTAATTTTGTAAACTTTGCTTCTTTTATAAGTTATTCTGTGATTCCTTTTAGTTACCAAGTTTTATTTTGAAGATATTTAAATATTGCACTTGTATAAATAGTATGATAAACGCAGACTGTTGCAGTCAATTTTTTTTTAAGCTAGGATATTTGAAATGACAACTTTTAGTTAAGTATGTCAAGCTCGCAACAGATTTTCACAACATGTATTGTAGTGTGCAGATTCTTATATTGAAAATGTAAGGGGAGTCAATGCAAATGATTTTTAATCTTTTTTATTATCTTTTCAGCAATTTATATTTTTTTGTGATTTTATGCAACCATATTTTTACTTTGTCTTGACAACTGAAAGCTGTATAAGGTTTTTGCCAGAAAAGTACTGTATACATAGTTTTAAATATAACAGATTTTGCTGATATGTAAAAATTTTGCCATTAAAATTGATTTCTCATGAAAGGAACTTTTCTACCAAGTTGGGACATGTGGGAGCTTAATATATCTAATTTAAAATAATTTCACTGAAATAAACACCATTGCTTTTACTTTGATTATATTTTTTTCTTAAGATGCTTTTGTAGTGTTTTGGAGTTTTAGATAATTTTATATAAATTCTCTCCCTTCCTTGCACCATCCTTTGGATCTTTGACACCATTCACAAATGAACTAATCTGGCTGGGTGTGTAAGATCTGTGTTCCAAGTGGCATCTTGGGAATGAAAGAAAAACATGTTGTCTAAATCTTTCTTCTCCCTAACTCCTCCCCTCCACCTGTTCATTGTGGATTCTGAAAAGATGACTGAAGTTCCACATACAACCCAACACTAAGTTGGTTGTAGGGAGGAGTCAATCTTTGTGGTTTATGTATGATTGCCCAGAATACCTTGATTTAGAAAGATGGCATAATAAAGAAAAAAATTCATTTTTTTATCTGTTATGTCTTTCTTGTTTACTCTAGGTTTGGGAATTGGTGATTCCCTCGTTCACAGCTGAGCTCTGGGCTCTTTCATATACTGAAATATAAAATAGCGCTTGGTTATATTTTAGTACTCAAAACACTGATGTTTGTTTGCCTCTCATAAATTGTCTAGATTTCCCTTATAAATCAGCCATCTAGACAAAAGGTTAAGACGAAAACAGAAAAGCTGAAGTGGCTGTCACATACTACTAGTCACAAACACTGGACTTGAATTCCATCATTGCTCGAATCCAGTTACTATTAAATCTAGAACCCATAGCACCCTTGGGGCTTTTGCTAGATTGCTGGCTTTCTAAATATTTAAAACAGCAAAGCCACATTAAGGAGTGTTATGAACACATGTACTTTCGGAGAATTCTTTTTCTACAAATTTGCACAAGAAACTCAGGTGAAACAACATCTATTAATCTGCCTTATTTATTATGAATAAATAAAGTTCTGTTTGTTGTAAATGCCAATAAATAGTGCCGAGTATTGAGAGGATGTTTAGTGACTTGGAAGACATTGCCAAGCCTTTACTGGAGTAGAGGGCATCAAAATTAAGCTACCCCGAGAGACTTAGAAAAGGAACAGAGCCTCAAGCACTATTTATTCACTCGTATGGCCACTGTGAGCCATTCATGACAAATATGACCAAGACTCCAAGATACAAATCTTGCTGTATCTTGTTAGGATGAATGGAGATGTGCACATACACACTAAAGTACAAAAAAAAGTAAGTATGGGCTCAGTGGATAGTCAGTTGCAGCGAATGTGAATGACCACATAAACCTCCATCCAGGAGGAACATTGCTGCACCCTAGTGTCTATTATGATTAATGAAAGTGAGGACACAGACCAATTCTGATACATCATGGGAAGGACATCACAGAAGTGTGAATACCAGGGGTAGGAAATACTGAAGCTGGCTACCACAGCCATGCACTGGTTATTTTGAAAACACTGACTTTATAACTCTTAAAAAATGTTAATGAATGCAATCAAATTATAAATAAAAATCACATCTGAAATCATCGCTTATCTCCAAGTCTAGACATATTGGGAAGCTGTCAAGATCATTATTTTTTCTAAGGAATACAATTTTGTCATTGGCACATTGTGAACTGTTTTTCTTGAGAGGAGTTTCTTTTCCAAGAAAATGGTGTGTGTGTGTGTGTGTGTGTGTTTGCATGCCATAACACAAATATGGAGGCCAGATGACAATTCTCTTCCCACTCAGTGGGTTCTGGGGATGGAACTCATGTCATCAGAGTCAGCAGCAAGCATCCTTACCTGCTGAGCCATCTCACAAGCCCCTTTGCTCATTTCCAGAAAAGGTCAAATACCCAAGTATGAGTAATCAGTTTGTCAGTGGTTCAAAAAAAAAAAAAAAAAAGTTGTGTTCCACCAGAACGTGGAACTTCAATTTATAATAGTCTTGAAGAATTGATTTTATTCTTATTGATGTGTATGTGTGTATGTGCAGGCACCTGCAAAGGCCAAACACGGTGTTGGGTTTCTGTAGGGCTGGAGTTACAGGGAGGCTGTGAGCTGGCAGATGTTGGTGCTGGGAACTGAACTTGGGTCCTCTGAAAGAGCAGGAGCCAGTGCTCCTAACTGCTGAACTATCTTGTCCAGCCCTTATAATGCAGTCTTAAAACACTTAGAGACATCACACGTCAGTAGCAGCAAAGTACTTGGTACAGCAGAAAAATAAATTCCATCATTCAGAAATATCCTTGATGAAGCTAAGGTTTAATTGGTTTATTAAAGTGGGTCTGAAAGTTAGAGTCTTGCCAGGTAACACAGTCAGACCTCATCTCAAAAGAACATTGGACTCCAGAGTTACACTGTAGGGTTGTGATAGAGGACTACATCCCTACCATTACAGTTTGGCGTCATTACCTTAAATCAACACAGCATTTCTATCACCACGGCACTTTAACAATCAGCCTCAATGTTCACTTTTGTGAAAAATGCAACATGTAAGAGTTTTGGTAATGGATGGGTCTCTAACCCATATAGGCTAAGAAACACTGTTTGCATTCATGGGTTTTTTTCTTTTCTTCTTTCTTTCTTTCTTTCTTTCTTTCTTTCTTTCTTTCTTTCTTTCTTTCTTTCTTTCTTTCTTTCTTTCTTTCTTTCTCTTTCTTTCCTTCTTTCTTTCCTTCTTTCCTTCTTTCTTTCCTTCTTTCTTTCTTTCTTTCTTTCTTTCTTTCTTTCTTTCTTTCTTTCTTTCTTTCTTTCTTTCTCTCTCTCTCTCTCTCTCTCTCTCTCTCTCTCTCTCTCTCTTTCTTTCTTTCTTTCTTTCTTTCTTTCTTTCTTTCTTCTCTCTCTCTCTCTTTTTTTTAAAGACATGAGTGTTTTGCCTTCATATTAGTGTGAAGGCCAGAAGAGGGCGTCAGTTCCCCATAACAGGTAGGTATGAGCCTGTATACTAAATGTTGCCAACAGAACCCTCTGCAAGAGCAGCAAGCCTCTCCAGCCTTGCATCAGTGGTTTTGGCGCCAGTGTTGGAGGTAATTTTTTTTCTTCCAGGGTACATTTGATATTTTGGAGAGAAACAAATTGGTGGTGCTATTGGTGACTGGGGGTGTGGGAAGCATTATTTAATGGCATCTTAGCATCCTATGTTTCTCCCAACAAATAACTAACCAGTAAGAAATGCTAAGTGCTGAGGTGAAAAAGCGTGGTCTCCAACAATGAGTTTTCCTTTGCGTAGCATAGCTATGTGGATAAAAACTTAACAATATTTCAATTTCCTCAATATGTACCAGTGTTAACATTTTTTCACATTGATAGACATTGTATTTTATGTATGATTTTTAACAGTCTGATAAATGTTCATACCATAAGGCATTTTTTTCAATGAATGAATTGCCAAATACATTTTTCTTTCAACTACAGCATATTCACATTAAAGCAATTTAAAAACACATGGAGTATTTTTTTTATTAGACTTTTAGAGTGCTTATCTCTGCAGAGTTGAGACATTCCCATCCTCTGGTACAGCTAAGTACCACAGCAATTCTTTCTTGACACAATATCTATCAAAATACAGTATTTGTCAGGAAACATAGAGGAACATAATACAACTGTCTTCTATTTTAAATGTTTTTTTTAAAATATAGATATTAAAGCACTTTTTTGTATGCTTTTCATTAGTTTTATCTTGTTAACATTTGCCTGCTAATTTACTGGTAAGAAATTAGTGCTACTTTCAGGCTGTGTTGTAGATTCTCACAGGAAGTCTACAGTTCACCCTTGGCCCTCCCTGATCAGCTGGCTTCTTAGTTTTCTATTGTTGGGATAAAACACCACGACCAAAGTCTACCTGGGGAGGAAAGGGTGTATTTCACCATATACTTCACATCATAGGGGGAAGTCAGGGCAGGAACTCAAGCAGGGCAGGGACTCGGAGGTAGAAAGGGATTGATGTGGTTGGCCGCGGTGGAAGGCTGCGTACTGGGTTGCTCCTCCTGACTAGCTCAGTTTGCTTCCTAATACCGACCAGGAACCACCTGCCCACTTATAATGCATTGGACCCTTCCACATCAATCATTACTCAAGGCAATACTCCCATAGATTTACCTATCGGCCAGTGTTATGGAGGCATTTTCTCAATTAACATTCCTTTTTCCCAGCTATGTTTAGGTTTGTGTCAAGTTGACAACACAGCTCCCCTTGAACTTATTTTCAGCTCAGTTTTTTTCCTCCTCTGCGTCTCACTGGCCCTCACTGGCTAGACCCGTGTGTTTTGCAAAGCACAGCTGCATGGCTCTGACACTCCTACCCCGAGTCCTCTACTCCGGGTTGCTGCTAGAGGGCAGTTTTGGTCTCGTGGCCCTACTACAAATCCCATAGTGCCTTGGGCGCCGCAGTGGCTTCTGGGACCAGTGGTCTCGTAGAAGGCTCTGGCGGATAAAGAAAGCCTTCTTTTCTTCTTCCATCCGCTTTTCTGGACCAGCTCGAACGTCCCCGGATGACTTCGTGCGTTTTTCATCGAGGATTAAGAAGCGCAGGCAGGCAAGGCCAGTTCGAAGCCCGACGGGGTAACTTCCGCTTCCGGCGCCAGAGGGCAAGTGGAATGTAAACACGGGACCACGGAGTGGCTTTCAGGTAACTGGCTGCGGGGAGGCGGCGGGAGGCAGAGGAGCGGGAAGCGAGGCGAGAGAGGTGCTGCGTGCGGGAGAGGGGACCGAGGGGGGCCCCCGGTGAGGTCCGCGGAGCCCGCAGGTTGGCCGCTGTCCCCGGGCGCGGGGCGCGATGGCGGGGCTCGTGCGGGGCCCCGGCGGCCTGAGGAGCTGCGGCTGCGGGCTCCGTGTTTGTGGTCGGCCTCGGCGCGGGGAGATGGAGTCGCCTTTGGTAGCATTTTCAGGCAAATCGGGTCTCCCAGTTCTTCACCCCCGGGGTGCCGTTGCGACTCTTGGCGTCCAGCCGGTGTTTTTTTTTCCACCCCGGGTGGCCGGCCGCATCCTCTCACGCAGTCCGTAGGAGAAGACGCTCGCCCAGTCGCCAAGTACTACCTGCCAGCCAGCTTGTGCCTGGGTCAAGTGTCCAGTCTAGCGATGCGCCCTGGGGCGTCACCGTACGTCAGCGTAGAACACAGGTGTCGTGGTTTAGAATTTTAATCCCACTCCTCGGTTCTGTAGGAAATGTGGGCGTGAACACCGGACACGAATGAACCCGAAACCTGTGCGGCTGTGATTCACGCACTTGGTTTCTTATCCTGGTGAAACGTGTTTAGGGTCTTGGCACCTTATCCATCCCAAGTCCAGATCTACCAAAGCCTCCCTTCTGTAAGGGGTTTTAGTGAGAAGTTAGTTAAAAACACAGCCTTAGAGGTACAAGACGCTCCTAGTTTAGCATGAGAACAGTTTAGTTGAGATATGACTGGCGTGTTATACAATTCCCTCCGAGAGAGTGCTTGAGTCAGTAGCCCCTTATTGCTATATGTATACGCGAGGGTCTG